CAACTACAAATGACAAACATAAATCATAAAACTTATACATATTTTAGAGAAGAAGGATGCATGTGGAGTGGAAATCGTGGATAGAGAAGAAGGGATTAGAAGACCGAGACGAATTTTAAGAGGAGAAGAGGAAAGAAAACTATAGCTCGCAAGCTATGTAAACCCGTAGGTTTTTACATCCCACAAACTTTCATTTCTAAAACCCTCCTAAAACAACCACAAAACATCTCTTATACAGGGGAAGAAAAGGTAAAAAAAAAAACAATTAATACATATATTTAATGCACCTCAAAATCAACCAATAGAATACCCTTGAAAATCGTAGCAAGCAGGGACCGAAGGGGCAGCCACATGGGGAAGAAACCGAAGCATCAAAACAACCCCAAAAGTGGGAAAAACTCGAAGCATTAAATGGCTCATAAAGGGAAAACTAAAAAGACATATTTTGGGAATTAAAATCGGCATGAAGAACACTAAAAGGCCTCTTTTGCCTACATCATTCAAGGTTATAACTATCATGATAAGGAAAGAATAATGCTAATGAATGGTTAACAACAAAAAAGAATAAAGAGTCAGATGAAGATAAGGAATTCATTAGTGGTGAGAAAGATTTTCCATAGAGTACTATTACAAAAATTAGTGATGTTAATGAAAGAAACTACAACATTCTAGAGCGATCTAAGGAAAAATGAAGAAATCTTCATCTAGGATTAACACTTGTAATTGAGCACATGAAAAAAGTTAAGATTTAGAAGACATTAATGATACATATAATAAATATGGGAGACTATTTTAACTCATCATGATGATGATAATTAGTTTAATTTTAAAAAAATATAATAATTACAAAAAAATAATAATAACAGTATGAATTTTGAATGGTTGAACAATTGGGCCAAGCATCAATTTAATTATTGCCATATCTATTCAATTTAATAGTATTTTATATTTAGTTATATTTTTATTTATATTTTGTTTATTATGTACTATGTTTAAAATAAAACAAACTGCCTAATGCACTATGCGCTATGGTTCTGCATGAATTTTTTTATTATGGTGCCCTATTCACCATTACCAAGTATGCCCATGAGTGTACATCTCTGATGCACTAACACTTCATTTTAAGAGGGTATGCAATGTCGAACAAGTGTCGGACACAGACATGCATCCGACACGACGAGGATACGTGTCAGACACCTGATTAGTGTGTCCCATTTAAAAAAAAATTAAACCGGACATGCGTGTCAGACACGGGTGTCCGGCTATTGTATAATTAAATAAATAAAAAAACCCTAATCTCTCTATTTCATATTACCTGGTTCACGCCCGAGTCTTCATCTTCTCCTTAATCCCATATTCTTATTTGTATTCGTGGTCTTCCTGAGCGATTGAGGCGAGCAGCGGTCGGCTGGAGATTGCACCCTTGGTCTTCTTCCCTTCCGGCCGTAAGCAACAAGCCATCCTCCTTAGTTTCTGCGCGCAGCCGAGGGAAGCCGACGTCAAACCGTAGAAAATTTTTCAAACCTGTAAATTGATTTCACCATTTTTTTGTCCATTCGCCATTTCTTTTCATTTATCAATGATTCTTTAGATTTGTGATCAGAAGAGCATATTTTTTTTAAAGTATTTTATTTGTTTTGGATTAAAATTACTCTTACAATAAAAACTTGTTTATTTAATGCGCTTTGACTACGCTTTTGCTGCGCTTTCACTACGTTTTTATTGCGCTTTTGTTGTGCATTCACTACGCTTTTGTTGCGATTTCACTGCGCTTTCACTCGCTCTCTAGTCTTATCAACAAGAAGAATATCATGAACAAAAAGCATACACCAAGGTACATCCTCTTGCAAATGTCTAGTGAGAACATCCATGACTAAAGCAAATAGATATGGGCTTAAGGTTGATCCTTCGTGTAATCCAACCGAAATAGGAAAATACTTGGTCAACCCACCTTGTGTTTGAACACAAGTAATAGCTCCTGCATACATATCTTTAATTATTTGAATATAAGCATTATTAATTCCTTTCTTTTCAAGAACTCTCTTGGAACTTTATCATATTCTTTCTCTAAATCAATAAATATCATATGTAGATCCTCCTTATTCTCTATATATTTCCCCATCAAACCTCTCAATAAATGTATGGCTTCCATAGTAGACATACCTGGCATGAATCCAAATTGATTTAAAAAAACATTAGTATCACACCGCAACCTATGCGCCATAATAATAAAAGAAAGATGTAAACAATATTAATAAAAACTACCGTAAATATGCATAATAAAAATATATTTATAAAAAAAAATTCTAATTAATTTAAAAACATAAATGCAACCATCTTTGGCATGCTATTTTTGCAAGGGGCTGATAGAAACTATGTTTATGTCATATGGGGTCTACCAAGCCACCATTTTTATTTAAGAAAATATCTATAAAAGCCATATCCATATGCTTCACACTCTTCCCCTTTTTGCTCACACGTGAAAGCGGAGTTACTTTGGTTCTGTTTGGAAACCCATTCACGTGAATGCACAACAACTCGAATAGCTTGGGGACAACTATGACAATTGTTTGAGATGTGCTTGAGTTACTTTTAGTAATTGAAGTAATTCCGCTTAAAGCATTTATAAAACCTGAGACATGTAATAAGTTAGATTATTTGTTTTGTTTGGAAGCCATCTACATGAATACACAACTGTTTCAAATGTGTGAGGGTCCAATGTAGTAATTGTTCATGTGAATCTATTGTCATTAGAGTGTACACATGTTGCTCATTTTGAGTTCATTATTGTTTTTGGCATTTTGTCCACTTGCGTGCCTGATGCAGATCCTATTGCAAGTGTCACGAATTGAAATCTTTTGTATTTTCAAATTAACAATTTATTTGTATATGACTTGTTTCTACTTGGGTAAGCCGCACAAAAAAAATTATTCTTCCATCTATTAAAAAGAACCACCTTAGTTCGTTTTCATTTCAAGCTTAGTTTTCAAGGAGTATTCTTGAGAGTTCTAAATGTTTAAAAGAGCTCTTTAGTGCAATCAAGAAGTTTTGTATCGTAGTCTGGGCCTTCAAGTTCATCACAAATCACCTTGCATGTAGACAAGCTTTTAAGTTTAGTGAAAATCTCAGACGTTTATTTCAAGTTCTCATCTTGGTTTCTATTATGGCTATTTTAAAAAAAAATTGACACGACTGATTTGTTATTTTGAGTGTTTATTTAATGTAATTTTACTATTTTGTTTTTGTTTGTTATGTTTGGGTCTAAAATCCTGGACATTCATTTTATTTTGAATCATGCTACTAAAAATTTCGACAATATTCTGATGTCACCCTTAGAGATGCAACATCAGAGGGAATGCAAAGCCTACCCATCTGTTAGACCGGTCCAGCCAGTCCAGCCGGCCCAGCCTCTTGGGCCGGCTCAGCTCGTTTACGCCAGGAGGAGCCGGCGGAAGCAGGAAGAGGGAATTTAGGTGGGGTCCACTTGAATTTTGAATTGAATCTTGGAGCCAAAAGGAGGGGAAGCAAGGGTAATTAGGTCCTTTCGTATTAGATTTGAATTGTATGCATTAAGTAGGGAGAAAAGAGGGGATTAGGGTTATGTCATATTTTGTAAGAGATTTTTTGTTCTTTGGTGGCTAGGGCTCTAGATCGAATTCTAGAGATTGGGAGAGTGCGATCCTCCTCTCGAATAGAGGATCCTTGTATCTTTGCTATTTTCCTTGCAACTACTAGTAAAATACAAGTCTTTTATCCGTTTTTCTGCAGTTATTCCCTGTTTTCCTACTGTTTTTGGCTGTTTTCCTGCTGAGGACAGCAGTTTGCTGTGAGATTTGTTGCTAAAGTGATTAGGAAATACTTCAAATCAAGTATTTCCTATCACCATCATACTAAGAAAAATGTGTACACATGATATAAACATAATAGCTTTATCTTCTACTCTCATCGGGCCAAAATAGACACATGATTGGTGTACATGCATGAAATTTTTTCAAACAATATTTTCCATGCCAAGAAAGAAGCATGCTATATTTATTTTAGGCGGCATTGGAGGAGAGAGAAGGTACAACAGATGACAATAGAGTAGAATTTTTTTTTTTTCGTAAAACTGACCAATTTTTGTCACACGCATGAGTCAAATTCGAGTCACTGCATTTATATAGTGTATATGTAATATAGGTCATTTTTTAAAGTAATTTTGGCGTTCCAAAGTTGTTGGCATAATCTATTTTGTGAAACTAATGATGGTTACAAAAGTTTTTTTGTAACCGAGGTGCTTTGAACCAATTTTCCATAATGTTGTGTCCATTGTTCGTCGTTTTTATTATACTTGATCGAATCAATCAAGGGGGTCCATCCTTTATAATCTCAATGCTTTGGACATGCTAGTGCAGTCTGTTTTACAAAATGTGCAACATTTAATGCAAATGAGGCATTTGGAAATGATTTCGTGCGATAATGCATCCATTATCCACTGTTCTCTTCGTGGTCAGTCGAACCAAGAAATGGAGCGATTGTAGGGATCAACAGGGATCTCTAGAGAATACGACACCAGTTTTCTCCCCTAACACTTTCAATATAACTACTTCAAAAACAATACAAGATGCAAGATTAAATAAAGTTGAAAACAAGTTACAAGAATAACAAAATCATGTCAAATGTCCACTACAATGCCTTGAAAAAAACAAGAACAAAAGTTTCATGTTTATTAGAAGACAAAATATGGTAAGTGCAGGTTTAAATTTACCAAAAAGAACTGAGTAATGCATCGAACTTCAAACAAGCTTTTGAAAAGTATGAATCTAATGCATAAGCATGAAAATGCATATAGTTGCTAGCATACATTAAATCTTTTGATACCAATAGCAGGCTAGTTGACCTATACCACGATTACAACATGCTAATCTAAACATGGATGCAGATGCTGAATAAAGAATTAATTAACAAAAAAAAAAAAAAAACGTATGACTGGGTTTAGAGTATAAAATGTCTGCACATACTTGAAAGGTTCCTCTCACAACCTTCAATGGCCGCACCAACAATGAAGTTAGTTCAAGAATAAGTTTTTCATCGTAGTCCTTTGGCACATGTCCAGAGGCATTCATTGGCATTGACTGAACTAGATCAAGCGAAGCAGCAGAGATTTTGGCATTTCTTTCATCTGAAGAAACTTCTACAGTTTCAGTAATCATGGGCTGAGTCTGTGTCATACTGTCAAGTATACCATTTTCTATTTGTTCCTCACTTTCATTTCCTTCATCCATATAAATTGCCTCAGCAACCAGAATGGAAGCTGTAGAAGGAAGATCAGCAGTAAAGGAAGCTTCTCTGCTATTCTTGCTGCATGCAATAAAAGTTCCATCAGATTTTGGCTGTGAGACGTGATCTTCATAATCTGCAGCTGCACCCAAATGTTCAGAGCCATGGTAGTCAATTTTGAAACACCTCCGCATCCTTGAAGAGCCTTCCATAAAGTCTAGTTTCCAAAAGACCTGTGTAGATGTTAAAATCCATAAAAAACAGAACATCTTAATGATTTACAGACCACAAAAGATGACATGAAAAATAAAATATCATTATATTGGCATAATGTAGATACTATATAAGCTAGAAAGGAAGAAGCATACTCGCTGACTATACAAGCTGTCACTGAACGGACCAAAAAGTCTGTCCATTTCAGTAAGGCAGTGAATAAATTTCCTCCATGCTCGACTCCCAATGAACCTGCGTAGTTGTTCTAAAGCATGAAGTTGGGAACGCCTACTAATCTGCAAGACATTGAGTTTCAGTAAATCAACTTTGAAGAAGCACACACACACCCAAAAAAAGGGATAAGAAACCAACATACCTCCATATGCTGCATGTTCCGTACTAAAGCTAAACTCTCTACTAATATACTAGAGTACTTATTCTGTAATGTAGAATATTCTTTTCGTAATATTGGCTTCAAGTCAACTGACTGAATGCAGTGAGTCCATGCACTTCCCATGGCCTCTGTAGTATTCCACCTCTTAGCACGCTCAAGATCAGATTCATTCCTCCTTTGCATTGCTGTTGTCATTGCTACGGCACTAAGACCTTTACCAGAACCAATCCTAGCCAAGCGTTCACGGTCTCGTGCAGCAGCAGCGATAGAAGTAGCCCTCACAGCAGCTGCATCTTTTGGGGCAGGAAGCGAATTGTTCGGCATATCAGGAGGTTTTGGAAGACTTAAAAGTGCAGTTAGACTGACCGGTTTCAGCTCAGAAAATGATGGGCCATGCTTAAGCGACGAACATTTAACAGGTCTTGTGGCATCACCACCAACACCAGCAGCTACCATTGCTAGCGCCATTGCAGCCGGAGGTGATGCAAAAGCAGCAGCCCACCGAGGGGATGTCATGTAGAGAGTAGCCTGAAACAGCAAAAAAAAGTAAATTAATCAAGAAGATATTACTAATTAAAGGTTAGTAAAATAAAATTTCAGGTCAAAATATTCAAAAAATCTGCATTCAAGTTCTCAGCAAAGCTAACATAGAAAAATAAGTGGAAAACCAAATTGATAGGCAATATCATGTGATGATGGCCCATCCGATTCAAATTTATGTTCAATGTCTGATGACATGTTTAATTAAATCTTCTATTTTTTATTTCACAATTATACTTAGGAAAACTTGGATTTTGCTGTATTAAGATTACTTCTTGCCTTGTTATTTCCATTAGGACTTATTTGCTATTAATTATGGTATTGTTTAATTTGCTTGTAACCCTAGGTGTCCCCACTATATAAAATAGACTCATAGGGCTTAAGTTGAGACATTGATTGAGGTTCCACACTTTTTTTTTTCAAGAAATCTGCCGCAATTTCATTTGGCTACAACATTATTGCTATCATCCAGAAATTTTTCTGATGGGAAAAATTTTGTTTATTCAACCAAATCTAATTAAGTGATGTAGCGTTAAGAAATATGATGTCTGATTTTGTCAAAAAAAAAAAAAAATCTATAATACCGCAAAAGCCTTTAAAAAATATGTTTTTCTCCCAACAGTTTAAAAAAATGTTTTCATGAAAAGCTATAGCCATCTTAAACAAACTTTAAATATAGAAAAAAAAAATTCTGAATTTTTTCTGTGCACTCCACAAATTTATGCCCAGATCTTTTGAGAGGATTTTCTTCCTGGTCGAATTTTTACAAGGAAGATTAGGTTACAAATAAGACACTACTAGCTCTCACATTATGAGGACTTTATGCTCTGATTCCAAATTCCCCATAGCACAAGCTCTTATGTTTAATTACCTCTACTAGTGACAAGACAGAACTTTCAATTAAGGCTGGTCAATAGACGCTAAATGCTATGAATATAATAGCAATAATTTTGATTTATTATTGAGATGAAATTTCCCTACCATCTATTTAAAGTGGATGGTGGGAAGAATGATGATGAATTTGATTAAGATCTCATGATTCCATTATCCTAGGTTGTCATGAACCATGGTGTACCTAGTTAATAGAGAGAGTCAATCTAACCAAACAAAAAGATCCCCTTTAGCAGCCATGAGCTCTGTTTTTCAAGGAGATCATGTAAAATTAGGGTGAATATTTGTCTAAGCGGACAATTTTAAGTCGACCTTAGCTAAAAAGGAGCTTGATGTCCTATCAAGCGCATCTTATAATTCAAAACTCAAGGGTGCTAGAGCCATTGGGGAACATCAGAATTATGGTCATGACCATAATATAATGGTGTTATTTTATGGTGAACCACCCAGTCAGAGCAATTCAATCATAAGCGCTGTTATGCAGTGTCATTTGGTGGTAAAACAATCGATCTAAGGATACGTACTATATCCTTACTAGCAAGAAGTCATTTGAGAGTGAACATAGTGATACATGATATTACATTGACTCTTTATGAGCCGAGGTCAATTACAAAATTGTTATCCTCGACAAACAGTTGTGGAGGGTAGATGGATTTTTATATTAAATTTTAAGTAAATGTTAAGTGGGATTTTTGCAATCCTCAATGGTTTGAAATATTTTTTGATTGAGTACAATAAAAAAAATATTATTCAAGGAAATAAAAATATTATTTAGCTATAGACTCAAAAACCAAATTACATTTTTTTTCCCATAGATATTACCCAATCCAATATGCTTGATTGAATAATGTTAATTTTATTTTGGTGTATAGGTTCCCCACATGGGCAAGCTCCAATGATTATTTACATCTAAAGAATATTTATCTCTTCAGAAAATTTTTATAAAAATATTGATTTATATTTGTTTATCAAAATACTGGCTAATATTTCATACGTTTATTTAGAAACTTTTGTCAAATATTTAGTCATTGAGATTTTCAAACAGGAATGAAATTAATTCTTGGATGGAAGCCAACGAAAAAACATATGACTACTTTATTTTGAGAAGCTCAGAGGTATTCAAAATCATTATATATTGAGCTTTATATTTTAAAATTAAATTTATGTTAAAATCGATCATTTTGATCTTAAAAATTGATGCTCATATGACAATAACACAAGATTGAGGAAATACCCAAGAAGGTGGGGGATTACCATGTAACTTAAAAAAATATAATCCTCATGTCTTAAATCTAAAGTGAGAATTGTCGATAGATGGTAATTGGGACCTAAATCGAATGAAATGCATGAGACTTACAAGCTTGAAATCCCACATAAGGTTAAGTTAGCTCGACTTCTAAACAATCCTGTCTAAAAAAGATGGTCAGTTAAGCTCATCTAAGCACTTTTAAAATCATGCAAGTATGATCTTAATGCATATACAAGAAAAGTTATACTATTTTAATTTTAGAAAATATGACCTATAACTTAGCCACTTAAACTAAGATGCCTTGATCATGAGAGTACGGACATGCGAAGATTTAAAATTGTGAAATTAGATATTGGGGTGTTTCTTGTTCATGATGTGAGGCGTAAGCCTCACATTCAAAAAATTGCATAAAGTGAAAATGAAAGTTGAAAGTATTTTTTAGTATTATAACTACATAATATATTAATGAATGACATTAATATTCTATTGTACTATGAAATAACAAATTGACGTACATATAAAATAAAAAATTATACTATGAAGAACTTGAACACTACCCAACTCAATAAAACTATTGTCGAAATAATATGAACAAAACCTAGACCACAAAGAGATGATAATTTCTAGTGATCAAAATCGGTTGAGGTTGAATCTCCAACTTTCAATGGAAAGCATTATCTAAATACCTTTTAGGGTTTGAGTACAGGTTTTAAAAGATATCTTCTAGCATCTAATGGGTAGTTGACAATACATTCAATTCATGAAAGTTAACCTGGCAGGATCTGGCAAAGATTATGATGAATCACTTAAAATCACTTGAGATTAAATGAAAAATTAGCTCAATAAAATATGCAACCAAATATATTATAATAGAAAGCTTGCTAAGGAATTTTGAACCTCAAATATGGAACATCAATATTAATTGAATATTTGAATAAATTTAAAGAGCTCACCACTGGTTGTGGTCCATGGGTACTTATATCAAGATTTATTAATGGCCTATGAGCTAAAAAGGAAAATTAATTTCCGTGCTCGATGATCCTTAGAAATAGTGAGATATCACCGTCATCCTATTCCTAAGACTAATAGCAATCATATTAGCATATCAAAAGTCGGCTCCTCAAAACTTCATGGTAATTAGTGATTTAAACCAATAAACTTAGGCATGAACAAATGATGTAAGCAAACTAGAGAGAAAAGACAGTTGGAGAACATCCGGACAAATTAAAAACCAAACTCAATTCACTATAGCTTGCAAACAACCAAACAAACAATTGGAGAAACAAAAGTAAAATCAAACGAAACAAAATAATAACATAAAAACGCTATCCTCAAAATAACCGTCTAGCGGTTTCCTCACATGCAACGAGAGTAGGAAAATATAATAAAATTGTGCTTAGGTTTCCAAACCAAGGGTCCACTGCAAAAGGTTCCAACGTCCTACCAAACTCCTCTGGCAAATGTCTCCAAATTTCAGCCAACAAACAACTTCCAGAGCTCAAGAAGAAGGATATAGATGGAGCGGAACTTGCGTAGAGAAGAATAGGTTAGAAGCCAAGACGAAATAGAGAGGTGAAAATGGGGTGGAACAAGCTCTCAAGCTTTTCCAAGAAAGAAACCCTCAGGTTTTGTAGAGATTCTACTCAGATTTTCAACAACCTTTTCCATCCCAAAACATCTCTATTATATAGGCAAAACAAGGAAACTAAACAGCCATAGCACCTCCAACCAAATCCAACCAGATTTAAGGAAATGAAAGGCCAAAAGACACCATAACATCACATAAAACTGCACAGAAAAACAGGGAGAAACATCTACGGGAAACCCAGCCAAAAGCCATAGGAAGCCCAGCCAGCAAAGGACTCGAAGAGCCAGCACATGAAACAGGGCAGAACTTCACGGGAAAACAACCAGGGAATAAAACCAAGAGGGAGTGACCACGAGAACAGCAACAGCCAGCAGAAACCGAAAAGACAAGGGGAAGGAAAGAGACACAAGTTCACTTCATAATAGTGAGAATACCTTTTTGAATTTATGAGCTAGGAAGTGCATTTATTCCACCAATTATTGAGCTAAACTTCAGCTCAAACATTAATGAGCTAACACCAAGTAGAATCCAAATTTATGGTTTGTCCTAGACTCTTCGAGGTCAAGCACTAAACTGCAGGCTACTTCTAAGGTATCAACTCCTCTCGCAAAAAGTTCATTTCGGAGATCTTCCCTCAGGCCAGCTCTAAACATGGACAGGAGTTGAGCAGGGGTAGTGGAATCTTCGTCATTGCAACGAATCAAGAAATCGTCGAAGGTGGAGATGTAAACTTTCACGGGCTTGCTTCCCTGGGTCAGTCTATTCCACTTATCTAAGAGTTTGGGGTAATATGACGAGGAAGATATTTTCTCCATAGCTCTTGCTTCATAGCTCGCCAATCAGTGATGGGGTGCTCACTTCGAGCTTCGCGCATGTTTTCCAAGTTTGTCCAATATTGGTTGGCACGGCCAGTAAGTTTCATTTCAGCGAACCTAACCTTCCTAGCTTCCGAAATGCTATACCATTTGAAATAACTATCCATCCCTTTGAGCCAATCTAAAAAGACTTGGGGGTCGAGGGTGCCATCGTAGGAAGGGGCATCTATATGGAAGTTCTTTAGTAGCTGAGCGTCGTTATCTCTCCAAGTGGGTTCATGTCCTACGGGTTCCTGATTGGGTCTATGGTTATGACGATAGTGATCTCGAGGTGGTCCATAATTAGTTCGAGCTTCATCACCATTAGGTGAATGTGGTCTAGATGGGGTGTAAATCGCGGGGTGTCCTAATCGTTCAATGTTATATAGTCGATCATCCGCTTGGTGTCTAAAGTCCGCTAAATCAGTCTGGATGTTCCTAATTTGCTGAGTAACCATCCCAAGTTGGCCCACTATGAGGTCTAGAGTCGCTTGAATATGTTCCGGATCCATGGGTGGATGCTAGGGGACACTAGGGAAGGTATCGGGGTGGTGGACAACACCTAGACACTAAGATAATATGCTCCTAATGCCTCTAGATGATGCTGAAGTGATCAAAACAGCAAACTATAGCAAGGACCTAAGTTGTCAAGTGTTTTGGATGGTTTCTAGGTTGTAGACAACACCTAAACACTAGCTTAGACTCACCTAAATGCCACTAATTGGTGCAGGAAAAACTTGGACAACAAGCTATAAAGTTTATCTAAGCAACCTAAGCAATTAGGGATGTTGTTGTGACAAGGATAGAACTTAGACAGTGAAGTAGACTTGCTTAAAGTGATGAAAACGATGCAGAATTTTACTGGACAGCAAAGAAAAAACAGAGAACTAAAATAACGGGGCAATGGTATGCATGCAAACGGGTTTCAGAAAGGTTAACTAGACTCCTAAGAACTTCTAGCACATGCAAGACATGCTTACCATGCTCTGATACCAAATATGATGTAATACATGCTTGGAGTTACAAAAGATTAACAAGAGAATTTAGTAGAAGTTAACCTTTATAACGTTATGCATCAAATCAAAGTAAGTTACAAAAATTCGCGGTCTTCCACTTGCTTAGGCAAAGAAATACGTGAAGAATAACCAAGACACTCTCAATCAAATATAAAGGCGAAGTAATATAAAAGCTCATAACACAAATCCAAAAGTTAATAATGAGATATTCACCTTGAGGATCTATTCTCTCTCTACGAATCTAGGTTGAGCGGAGGAAGATCTTCCACACTATAAATGAAGTGACCACTAGGCAGGACGAGCCGAGGAACATAGTTGTTGGGAAGGTAGCCGAAGTTGGAGGCAGCACAGAGCGTCCAATGAGGGACCACGGGATTCTTGGTCGTTGAAGTTCAATGGTCCCGGCAAGACAATACACGATACGGTTGACGTAGCGTTCAACGGTGACGTCATACTCCCAATCCGGTTTGTAGAAGGGGGAGAGGAAAATGTCGATCTCCCCTTGCTTATTGTATGCAAAATCGTGATCAACCTCAGGATCGGCCATGCACGGTAAGCATGGGGATGAGGGAACATGAGGAGGAAGCCCAAGAGAGGAGAGGGTGTTGGACGGCTAGAAGAAGTGGGGAGGAGGCTAGGGTTTTGGAAGAAATTAGGTTAGATTGGGGTGGAGGTGTGGTTTGATAGAAATCTGAAATTAAGATTAGATTTTGATTAGATTGGGAGGGAAATACTTTGAAATTTGATTTCAAATAGATGGCATTTAATGCATTGATGGGAGGAATTAATGGGATGCGGCCATGGAGGGGGCCGGCGGCATGGAGAGAGAAAGGAGAGGAGTTTAGAATAAAAACTGAAATCAATTTCAGCTTAAGTGAAATTGGAGGAAAAATTATTTGAAATCAATTTTTGGATTTCAAACAAGGGAGAGGGAGTGAATGAGCATTTAATGGGGGAAGCCCGTTAAGGGGGCCGGCGGCATCATGAAGGAGGGAGGGGGTTGGGGAATGATGGAAGGAGTTTCCAAATAGGTAATGAATATTAGGAAAGAAGAAAATTAAATCCAAGTTGATTTATTTTAAATTTGGATTCAATATAGAAACTTTCATAATTTGGATTTCCCTAAATGGAAAGAATTTGAAATTCGAAATTTGAATTTTAAATTTGAAGGCCAGGGGAAAAGAGGCCAGCAGGTGGATGATGAGAGGCCAGTGACCAAATTGTCGACCGGCGGGTGGGAAGGTGGCCAGCGGCTTGGGCGTCCCAAGGAGGTCGGCGGCAAGGAGGGAGGGGCTCGGGTTCTCCAAGGAAGTTGGTGGGAGTGAGGATTTCTTGAAGGGGGCGAAGAAAGAAATAGGGGTAGGTGGAATGGAAAATGTAAAGCCACTAACCTCAACACCACATCCACTAGAACTCACAAAGAGATCCACGATACTCTATCCTCAAGAATTCACAAAGAGATCTAGGAAAATTTTAGAACTCACAAAGAGATCAACAAGGAAAAAAAAATTCATTCATCAATAATCATGATACAATAGAGGAGGCCATAATATATAGGCCTAAAAAACAAAACAAAATATAATGACGTAAATACCCCTGGGGCTACTACTCAAGACAACTAAAAGAAAGGGTACAATCGGTAATATCAAATAATACATAACATTAAAATAGAATCAAAATAGAACTAAGCATCAAAATAAAGACTGTGGATCGTGGCCATCGATCTGCGCCTCCTGCGTTGATATCCTCGTCGAAAACGTCTATCGATGTCCTCATCAAAACCCCTAGAGCAAAGTTGAGGCATTGATCAAGGAATAAAACAATGAGATTTTTCTTATAATAATCATCTATTGATCTTTCTCTCTTCGAACTCTTGCTCATATCCATCTCTTCATCTATGAACATTCATAATGTTCATGCATAGAAATAACTACCCTTATTGCACTAAATCCCAACAAGTTGAAATATTTTGAATCCATCTTAACCATGTATTCACATTGTCATGTTTACAGCTGCATTTAGTGATAGTTCTAATATAATAAGCACTAAACATATCCCTGCAAGTATTCTGAGATACATAAATAACTAAAAATATACAAGAGCTAAATATAACCAGGTGAAAAAGTCAATTGTATGTAGAATTATTTTTTAGTCCCAATTAACCAACTCACCTGAATAGGCATTGCATCGGATGCCAAAGCATGGTCATCAACAAAGAGAGGATTTAGACCATCTGGGGATGTAAATTCATGAATTCCAGCCAAAAGAGGCCGCCATCGTCTTAGGATGGCTATGAATGGTGGTATAATTGCCTCTAAATATTGTTTACGTAGAATTACTCTGTCCTTGCTAACAGCATGCCACACCTGCCAAATAGGAAAGCAATTAATAAAATCACAATGCCTACGGTAATGCATAGCTCATCAACATGAAGTTGAGCCATATTAAGGACAAAGTTTCACAATAGTAGATAACTCAGCAAACATTGGAAAAAAAATATCGAGGCACATACAATATCCCTAATGATATCTGCATGGTCCTAGCCTAAGCTTCTGCATAAAATTAATTTTAGCACATTTAGAGAAGTAAAAATCTCAAACCCTTCGGCTATCTACAAATATCTTGATAATTTAAGAACCCTTTTCTTTGTCGGGCAACTTGCACTACATGCAAGATTTCAGTCTCAAATAGATATTTTACATCAAGTCAATAGTATTTTATACGTTTTACATTGGTTTTGAATTTAGTCATATCCACTCACATTGGAGTTGAAAATTCCAGGGTAAAATTAGAAAGTTGAGGCAATGCTTTCCTTAATTTCAAAAGTATACAGAGGGATGACATTCAAGTCTAACCTTGTCCCAAGACTCTTAGGAAGAACAACACAACAATAACAACATCAAGCCTTTGTCCCACTACGTGGGGTCGACTACATGAATCATTTTTCTCCATTGTGTCCTGTTAAAAGTCAAAATCTCGTTTTGACTGTCAAAAACTCTTAGGAAGAAGAAGAAAAAAAAAACATGAGCCTAAGAAATTCCACAATGCTGAATACTTATCAAAAACAAATTCATTACCGGGCAGCCACTTAATCTAATTGATAATATTGAAAGATATTATCATAATGAAGTTTGGGGCTCCTTAAAGAACTCCTCCCATTAACCTTTTGTCCGTTAGCCTATATAATTTATTGTTTTAATCTATCAGTCTCACGGTTCTACCTTCTGAATTTCAAATTCAATAGTGAATGAATTCTTTATTATTGGTAGACAGAAAAGAGAATAGAAGTAGGACACATATTTCCTTCCCCTGGCCTATAGCCAGCAGCTCTAGGTGCTGAATTGCTAGAATACTCATGGTCCCCTGATGCACTTGCATCCAAAACATATCCCTCCATCCATCCGCCAATGTGCTTATCAGGTTATCAATAAAAGCATATTATTATAGTCTTTTACACAAAGATAATACTATGTGGATGGTTTTATGATGTGGATGCTTAAGTGGTCTCCTAACATTGATTGCTATGAAGAACCACCTATTACTATGATTTGTTTTTCTTTTCCTTGCCTTCGAATTCATTACTTCATGTAACCCACCTTTACTCTCTTGAATACTTTTTAAGGAGGCCTTTACACGTGGATGCTGCTCCTGTTAGACTCGCTAGGTCATTGGTGACTAAGGCAATGGGTGAAATGGACGATAGTTTATATTTGGAGAATGAGATTTAGATTGGTCGTCTTTAATAGTTATTAGTAAAAGATAGAATTTGAAGGCATTCCTTCTTATTATTCTTTTTGCAAAATCTTTTTAAGATTCTCAAGATGTTTTAAAGCTCATATGGAATTGAGGAAATCAATTGTTGTTATTAAGTAAAAAAAATTTAGCTAGCTAGTGAAAAGATACATGATAAAACAAAAACATAAGATTTCTACCAATAATTAAAAAAAAGAAAGAAAATACATTAGATCAAGCTAACGAAAAGAATAGAGCATTATGACATCCTAGAAAAGTGGATCATGACATCAACAAAACTGAGAATGCCAAAATAATCAGGGGAGTTATTACATCTCACTTGGGTGGTTGGGTGGGCCATGAAGCAGTCATACGTACACAGATGGACTGTTCTCTTCGGATGAGGATAACTTTTCTTTCCAAATTTTTTATTTATGCATCAAATATTTCTTGCCAAGGCTTGCTTCATTTTTCATGTGCTTTCAGTCTTAATATAGTTTAAAGCTTTACTTACAGGATAAAAGGCAAGCTGAAAAATGAACGAAGCCATGACAATCGTATAAATGAAGTACTTGTAGTTGAGAAATTTTGCCCTTTCATCTGATGTGAATGAAAGTAAATTAGTGAGGATTGCATTACATGATTCCAGTATCAATTTTTGAAGGGAGGATATTAGCTGAAATGTCTTTTAATTTCTTGCATTTTATGATAATCATGCTCATCAAGCAAGAAAGAAATTTTCTCCTGTCAGGAAGAGCTTGTGTATTGCTTCATTCTGTTCCCCACAAACCATTTAAATTTTTCATGTCGCTCATTATGAGCTTTTCTAGTAAAGGGAACAATGTTGTATGCAATTCTTCATCGCACCGTATTGTTTTGCTAACAATATGCTTAACTTCATCTATGACATAAAGTTGTAGGGCCTTTAGAAATAGTAGTTGCCTAAGTGTTGAGAGCTCCTAGTATTTTCTAAAACCATCAAGCATGATTTGAAGTAGATTTTATGATGTAGGCAAGAAGGGGTTAAAATAAGTTAAGTTGAAAATTTTGTAAGTTTCTACTAAAGTCAGTTCATTAATGAGCTTCTTCTTCTTATTCAGCACATAAAGTGTCATTATTTGGTTCATTTCCCATTGTCTTTGGCTCTTTGGCTTTGCCCCTTCTTTGTGTCCCCTCAATTTCTTCATGTGCTGTTTCCTGTGGCTAGTTCTTCTCCCTTGCTGGGTGCTGGTTCCGATCCCCTTTGTGCCCCTTCGGTTTCTCCCCAGGCCGCTGGTCCCGTGGCTGCTTTGTCCGGTTCTCTGTGCTGCCTTTCCGGGTGCTATTATGGAATAATTACTGACCCTTTTTTTGGTTGTTTGGCTGCCCTTTTTCTTTTATATATAGTATATGTTTTGTAAGCAAAAAAGAATGATATGATGTGATTTTTGGAATGGAAAACCTGAGGGTTTTTGTTGGAAAAGCTTGCGAGCTTTTTCCATTCTTTTCCTCTTCTTCTAGGAAAGCTTGCGAGCTTCTCCTCCCTTTCGTCTCGTCTTCTTGCCTCTTTCTTCTATCCACAAGTTCAATGTCATCAGTACCTTTCTTCTAAATCAAGAAATGCAATTTTAGGAGTTTATGTTTTAAAAGTTTGTAAGTGTCATTTTATATTATAAAATTGTTGTTTTTTTTTGTTATTTCAAGAGTGTCTTTGTTTCTTTTTTGTGACCTAGGAAGTGTTTCTTTTTGCTTGAAAAAATTAGGGGTTGTCAAATGCAATTTTAGGAGTTTATGTTTTAAAAGTTTGTAAGTGTCATTTTATGTTATAAAATTGTTGTTTTTTTTTTGTTATTTCAAGAGTGTCTTTGTTTCTTTTTTGTGACCTAGGAAGTGTTTCTTTTTGCTTGAAAAAATTAGGGGTTGTCCTAATTTTTTTGCCTATATCAATTTGTGTTTTAGGTGTATTTTGGGCTTCTTTTTAACTATTAATAGGGAGTTTGTGGCTATTTTAGAGAGTTTTTGATGTGGCTATTTCAGAGAGTTTTTGATGTGGCTGATTTTTGGAACTGGAAAAAACCCGAGGGTTTTTCTTCTTCGGGAATAGCTTGCGAGCTATGTCCCCCATTTCTTCTCCCCCCTATAGCTTGCGAGCTATACTTCGTCTCGGCTTCTAACCTCTTTCTTCTCTCCGCAAATATCCACCCCACATGTATCTCTTCTCGATGGATTGAATGCAAGTTTAGGTGTTTAATTTTATATCAAAAGTTGTAAGTGCCTTTCTTTTATGATATAAAGTTGTAATTTGTCTTCTTTTCTATATTTTCTATTATCCTAGGAAGTGTTTCATTTTGCTTGCAAAAATTAGGGGTTGTCCTAATTTTTTTGCCTGCATCAATTTGGTATCAGAGCAAGTTAGCAAATCTTAGGTTTGTGTGAGACTTGGTGTCATGAGAGTTTTTGAGTATTTTGTTATTGTAAGTCTTCATATGTTTTGAGTCTAAATGAAGCAAAGATTCAAGAGCTAGATGGGCTTCCTTATGTCTTTGTTATGTTCAAGTTGTTTATATGCCATGCTTATATGTCTCATGTTCACTTAGTATTGACTTGCTTAAATCATATAATTATTTGGATAGAAAACTCTTTTAATGTCATGCTAAAACAAGTGCATTATCTTCATGCTTAAATCAACATCATATGTATGATTCATCTTATCCTTTTATATTAAGATATATGAAATGCAAAACTTGTGTTTGTTGAAGGAGTACCAATATGTGGCTCTTTGGAGCAAATACGGCCTTTGAGACAATATGGAAAGAAAGGAAAATGATATGGCCATAAATATGTGTACCTGATCAATACAATTTCGGTACTCCGGTATGGATGTACATGATACAAATAAGAGAATAAGCATATAATTGAATAGATCTCTCATGTTAAGCATATAGTAAACATAGTATATGACTTTGGACATACACTAGCACATGTTATCAACCTACATATTATTTTCTTTTTCATGCACATGAACTTTAGATGTAGTTATCATTTGCTGAGCGTAGCTCACTCCCTAGCTTTGAAAAATTTTCAGGAGAAGCTTCTCAAAAGTGATGGCGGAACACCCAAGGTTTACTTACAATCGTCGTACCCCGGGTGACAGGTTCTTATATTTGTTTTCCTAGTTGTAGTTACTTTTCTTTTGGGTGGTTTTGTCATAGCATGAATAGTTTAAATGTTATAGTCACCTTGTAAATAGAAGATGAACTCTCTTTTGAAATGAAATGAAATGTTTAGAGGCGCTTTTTTGTTATTGAAGTCTTTTTAGAAATTTTTATATACATGTAATATGATTAGTGAACTGTTTTGAACGTCCGATTCCGTTCCCGCCTCGTATTTACGAGCTAATCGGGCCGGGTCGTGACAATTTTCATAAGCATTTCATTCAACTCTGCCTCCTGCTGCTGAATCCATTCAACCGATATACAATCTTCAATCGAAGTAACAAGGTTCATTAGCATCACCTTGCAATGGTTCTGCCATGACAATCTCTTCAGACATAACAACTTGAACACTGTCTAGTTTTGAAGGCTTGGCCTTCACCTCATCTTCTTTTTTCTCCTCTGCTTCATGGACCAAGTTTCCAGAAGCAATTTGATGGCAA